ATTGCTTTAAGGAAACCTATGGATGAGAGTAATTTAGAGTTAGTAAATCTCTTAACTCAACAAATGGGAGTTGCCCTCAATCCTGTTGTTAACCAAATAAGTAGATTGATCGACTCATTCAGAGTCCAACCAACTCAAACATGCCACAGGCTGTTAAGAGTTTTTGAAGAACTATAGGGGGGCAACAATGAGCGTCCTTTTAGACCTTGAAGAGTGGAAACACCCACTTGTGAAGAGGAAGAATTCATTGAACAATACAAACCTAGGCCGGTCATAGTTATGAGAAACCAAGATGCTGATTGAGTGTTAAGAAATGCCACTGTTGGGCGTAATAACATTGTAAATGTAGTAGGAGAAGTATTAACACGATTTGGGATAAATGTTGGCCTTCGGAGGCCCAATTACTATTTTCCCTTGCATTATTACATTTGACAAGCAGATTTGCCTAGGGGATGTAAGGTACCTAAATTTACCAAGTTCACTGGTGATGCCAATGAGTCGGTCATTGATTACATCGCTAGGTACAAAACAGAAGCTGGAGATATCGCCATCAATGAGGGTTTAAAATTAAGATATTTTCCTAATTCATTGACCAAAAATGCTTTTACTTAGTTTAGGACATTGACTCCAAATTCCATACGCACTTTGGAACAACTTGAGGGTATATTTCATGAGAAATTTTATGTTGGTCAGCCTAAGATAAGTTTTAAGCAGTTATCATCAATCAAGAGGAGGTCGTTTGAGTCAATGGAAGATTAATTGAATAGGTTTGGGATCCAAAAGTCTAGATGCTTCACTAGAATTCTTGAGCATGAGCTGGTCGAAATAGCCGCTGGGGGCTTAGGTTATTCTATAAGGAAAAAGTTTGATCCTCAATCTATTACAGACATGTCTCAACTAGTTGATAAGGTTCGATATGTCGGACGTTTGAAAACAAAGAAAACTAGTGTGTCAAAGGATCATAGAAAAGCAAAAGTGTCCTATGTAGACACAAAAGGTTATTCCATAGTGTTGTAGCCCAAAATTTTCCCTTTCATTTTCTTCAAGACATTCTCCTAAGGTCTTCATTTGTTCAAGGTTGCCTACAAATTGATGACAAATTCTCCTCCTAAGCAATGGGTCCACAAATAGGGTTTAGTATTTCTAAAGGAAGAATAGGTTTCCAAGGTCTCAAGTGGGTTTCATGGTTCTTCATATGTATTCAAGAATGCTCATGTCAAATTTCAAGCCCTGCATCACAAGTTTGTTCAGTCAATTGCTCAGATGACTGAAAATCAACTGTATTGGGTAAAAAGTCAACTTTGGTCAACATACATTCAAACTTTAAGATTTTTGGTCAACATCAACATTTTTAAGTGATATTAATCATTTGATCAAGGGTTGATCATGATTCCTCAAGGAAAGTCCTCAAATCATCAAAAGTCAAAAGTTGCCAAATTAGGTTTTCCTTAGGAGATGTCAACTGAACTTTGACCAAGGATAAATTTCACATGCTTCATCAACTTTTCCCTAACCAAATCCCATGTTAATGGAAATTAAATTCTCTATAACTTTGTATCTCTAAGATCAAGTCCAAAAAATGCTTCATTTGGGAGCTTCGAAAGCTTCATTTACCATAGTGGTGACAGGAAAAACATGTTGTTGCTCATGATGATTATTATTTATTCGGGGTCTCCTCGTCCCTTCTCTCGAAATAGTATTGGAATTAAGTTATTTCTTCTTGATAAAGTTATCACCATACTTCTTTGCATTATCTGCCAAGTTACCATTCTCAGACAGAAGCACTCTCATGTTCACCTTTTTAGAGCAATCGTTAGTGTATTGATTGTCACCTTCTCATGAAACAAAGACTTCAGGGTTTTTGCAAAGACATTTTCCATCTCTTCTTTATTCATAAGAATTAACTTGTGTGGAGACCAAAGTTTCAACCAAACTAGTTAGATGCTCAATACCAGCTTTCAAATTAATCATCTCCTTACGGAGTCTAGAAAAATCTTGCTTAATATTTTCCATCTTCCTCTTAGCGCGAGTCTTGTACTGGTGAGACCAAAGGAAAACTTTTTAAAGTGAAACAAAAAAATGTAGAATGATGCATGATATGCAAAAGAGAGTTTTTATTTTATTTTCAAGGAACTCAAGATATTAAGTTGTAAACATTAAAGTATGAAAATAGAAGATGAATTTTAAATTGAATCAAAACATTGATCAAGTTATCATCAAGATCAATCATCCATTTTGGTGGATTAGGATTTTCACCCCATCAACACCCAAGATCCATTGAGCTTGACGAAACTTGTGATGTTTACAAAGAAATACTTCCAAATTCCTTGAAAATCAAGTGGAAAAGAGTTTAATGGATGCATGAAGGCATGGCTATGCAACAACCACAAGAAAGGTCACAAATAAAGTTGAAAGGTTCAATGTCATGAGCATGGAGTCAAAGGTAAGAACCACCATTAAGGTATGGACTAAGGTCTTCAAATCACCTGTAGATCAAGGTTTTAAGGAATCCTAGAGTCTACATTTTTCTTTCGGATGTTACCAACTTCCCGATTACTCGGTAGTTAGCAACATTCTCAAGAAAAACTCGTATGAGCTCAACATCACGTGACAACTACTTCCGGATTACTCCATCATAGTCTCTGCACTACATCTAAAAGGCCAAGATGGGTTAAGGGTTCTACGCCTCTCAGCTTCTCTGGCTCCCAGGTCGAAAGCATCAATGTCTTCTCGATTACTCGGTAAACAATGCTACATTTAAGAGGACCTCCACTGAGTGGGGGATTTCATGTCTCCTTCTTCGGGATTACTCCCTCAAAGCTAACATGACTATACCTCCTGTCCTAATCTTAAGTGTAACTTAGTTTGGGTATAAGACTTATCCTTTGTAATCAACACCCAAATAACCACAATATATCACATATAATAAAACAAACAAGTAATAATAACAAAAATAGATATGACAAATTAGGCTTAACCCACTTAGGGATAGACCAGCAAGAGGTCAATCTTTCCCCTGCAGTGTCTCCATTTCTATAGCGGTGAAAATCAGAGATCAAGCTATTTGATTAACTTGACTCACAAATAAGCAAGAGTCGCTGCCGCGCTTTATCATTTCCAAGGGAAAAGGGAAAAGAGCGAAATAAAACCCTTAAATGTGCAATGTAAAGTAATACTTTAAAATAATGAAAACAAAATTAATTTTTGACAAAGATCGAAGTTTCAGGGGTTGGTTATATAAAGGGAAGTTTAGATATTTATTTTTAGGAGATTTAACTCAAGTTTAACAAAAACTAAAATGTATGAAGGGTTTTCGGGCAATTGTATAAGATATGTTTAATGACATGAAGTCAACAAATTTAATTATATCCCTTGGAGTAAAACACAAAGACCATATACATATTGTTCACCAGCAAAGAAAATTACAAAGAAAAAAAATTAAATAAACAATAAGGAAATCAATTAAAGAGACAAGGAGAGTAAAATGTAGAATAAAGATATAATTAAAAGGTTATCTAAACTAAATTATAATTCTAAGATTATTAAAATTAACATTCTAAAATTACTAAATTTAATCTAAGTAAATTAATTCTAGAGTTACTAAATCATATATAAATTAATTTAAATACAAACTAAATTAATTATACAAAAAATATGTGAAACAGAAAATTAGGGGGTGAGTATTAAGAAGTTTTAGATGGGCCTGCTGATTAGAATAAGGCCCAAGGCATGGAAAAACAAGACAAACTAAATAAAAACAAAAAAACAACTTTACTGGGCCAGACCGGGTTAGGCTGGACCCAGATTCGGCCAGTTTAAGCAAAGCAAAAGGGTAAGAAAACCGTAGAGAAATTTCAACGCCTCAATTCTTGAATCCTCTCACGCTCATTCTTCTCCTCAACCGGTTTCACTGATCTACCAACAAGATCCTACCTCTTCTTCGCCTTCTCCTCAGCAGTAAGAGAATCATCATTTTCAATAGCACGAATCGCAGAAACAAGATCGTCAGCAAGAGACGGAGCCGGAGAAGACACAACCGCATTCTCAACCGGCACACACAGTCACTACACTCCCAGTCAACAACACTCTTTGAAGGAACGGGGAGACACAGAACGTGCCATCTTAATCCGCAGGTTTTACAGAAAAGTGAATCGGTTTCATCAGGCGTCTGTTGGCACGCCATGCAAACACCGTCGGTGTTGCAGGGAAACTCCATCACACTGACGTTACCGTTGCCGTTGAGTTGTTGTTCCTCCATTGATGTCACTGAAAGTTCACTTTTTTCTTTTTTTCCAGTTGTTATGGGTTGTTGAAAAGTGATGTTGAGGAATTGTATGGTGGTCGATGTGGGGTTGTACGGAAGATGCAGTGATGTGATACAGAAGGATGCTGTGAGTTGATAAAGATAACAGGTCTGTCATGGAACCACAATAATTTTGCTCATCAATTTCGATTACTCATAACAAAAATAAAACTAACAGCTTGTCTCTCAATATATAATTCCTTTACGGTTATTATGTTTATAATGTGTTGTGGTTGATTTGGGTGATAACCCTTCAACGATTTTGTTAGGGTGTAAACAATTCTGACTTGATCAATTAAACAGGTAATAGATGATAATGAAACTCACTCTCTTTATTCAGTAGTAGAAAAACATGTTTTAAACAAAGCTCTCTTATCAACACAACAGGAACAACATAAATGAAAGAATAAGTGAAAGAGGAAGTATAGATTACCGACTTTGATCGTTCTCATAGGTGAAGATAAACTAGGTAAACCTTTTCCTCCTCAATGCTCCGATCTTGTTTTCTTCCTAAAGTTGGGTATGCTCTTGAGTCATTGTATTTTCTTTGTTTCAGATTGTTGTTCTGTATGGAACAACACATATACTATTACTGACGCAATGTTTTGTGGCGGTTTGGGCATTGAAAGGTTAGCAGTGAATTCAATGGTCTAGAAAAAAAGGTTGTATGAAAGGCATGACAGTGATATGATGAGTGATGCGGTCGTTTGAAGTTTTGTTGGCCGAAGTAATGGTGCAAGATTTGGATGGTTTAAAGGTATGAACAACTATTTTTTGTGTAATATTTTTATGATCTTCTCATGTATTATTGTATATCCCTTTTTGTTAATTGGCCTCTCTTTTTATAATTCTAATCAAGGATAATTGGAGCCAAAATATGTTTTATTTTTGAAAGGGATTATCACACTGCTTTGCTGCTTTATGACGCAGGTTTTTGGAAGCAACAAAAGCATAGCAATAGCAGCATTTTGGACAATGACAAGGTAGTAGGACCTGGTTTCCTTTTGGACATATTTTTGGAATGGTTTTTGACAGTTGATATGAATTATAATGTAGTTTTTTGGCAGAATTGCAGCAGGGGAAGCAGCATGACCTTGAAGGTTTTGGGCAGCATTGCAGCAGGGGCAGTAACATGACCTTGCATGCTTTGGGCAACATTGCAGCAGAGATGATTTTGGTGAAGAGTTGAGTTGAATTAGAAATTAGGTTTAGGATTCTATGTAAATGCCTTTGGACACAATGTGATGTAATGTAATTGGATAAAATTTGTAATAACAATTGGCCTTAGATATGTAATAAACTTTGAACCTTTTTCTCTTTTAGTGCTCTAATTTAAATTCAAATATTCACTCTCCAATTCTTGCATACCTTAGATTAACATGAAATGAAGTTAAATGGAAATGTTTCATAGTTTTCTTGAAACTTGAATAATCCTTCTTGTCTCGATGATAAAAATTAAAATGAATGATAACCATGCCTTGGTCACCATATCATCTTTGTATCATGAATAATTTCCACATAAAGATTAATGTCTTGAGAAAACAATTACGACACAAACCGAAATTAGAATTTAAGAAACATCCTAAATAAGGAAAAGGACCTATGATGATTCGATACTTTCAAGGTCTTCTAAACACATATTTCCCTCAATCCTTGAAGTAAACTTGTAGATGACATCTTTTATGTCAGTGTACTAAAATAATCGTCTCATCATGTTGAAAATTAAGGAAGTTATGATCTTTGAAAGTCTGACGATAGTTACTTGAAATTAAGTCAAAGTCGCAAAAGGACCTCTAAAGTATTTGAAATTTTAAGGGTCTTCTGCACATAATCAGATCTTGACTTGTAAGAAGAAGTTGGAGATGGAGATGACGTCAAGGAGAATCATTCTCTCGAATAATCACTCAAAAATGTTGAATATTGAAGAATTTATGACCTTCTGAACTTTATCTTGAAAATGTTGACTTCTTGGTAGAAGTGCTTTGAATCGTCTCACATAGCATGATATTTTCTTGTGCTCCAAGGCATATTAATGCACATGTGAACCAGTGATGATGAAATCTTGATTGTGCTTTGAGGAAGTTTTGGAGAAGCTTGAGACCACTTGTCGAACAAGGCGTGAAAAAAAAACACGATCCTCTGAAGTTCTATAAGACATCTTTGATCAAAATGAGATTGAACAATGCTTGTGACTCTATGCTTTGAGATTAGAGGTTGTGTCCTGATGAATCAGTTTTTGAGAATCCATAATCAATCGTACTTATGAGGTGTGACAACTGATGCCCTTGATTCAAACCTGTCTCTGCACATAAAACAAAAGAAAACACGGACATACACCTTTGTATGCAATTAGAAGTTAGTGACACATAAGATAAAATGTTCACGATACTTGATAATCTATGCATAGGCAATGCTCGAAAGTGAGAGAGTTAAAAACCGGGCGTGTTTCGTGACCTTGATATTATGCAAAAATGCAAATGAAGATGGGATATTAGGTCAAAAATTGGGGTATGATAGCTGCCGCTATTTAAGTTTCTTCTATTAAGAGATATGAAGATTGAAATCTTCGTCTCGACGAGATTGAAGGGACTTAAATATAGAATACACAATTTTCGACATTAAGATACCGCAATTATGTTTATGATATGATATGAATGTAATATTTTGAATTTTATGATGAATCATACCACAGTAGACCAACTACTGCTAGAGAAACCAGACCAAGGACAAAGGAACCTCCACAAGAAAAGGGGTTAAAATTCCACTAGGGAAAAGAAAAATAGACTTCAAATGGAAGACTCTTATTGGGGAATAACTTTGAGAGAAGAAAAGTTTCTGACTCTATCAGAGAAGACGCTTTGCATAGGCTATGAAAAGATAAATGACTATTGACTTGTGATGATGGTAAATTTCTGACTCAGAGTCAAAGGTAGACAAAATAAAAGATGCACCGACTTTTACCGAAGGTGAACTACCGAACTTTACTGAAGGTGAAACAAAGATGCACCAACTTTTACTGATGGTGAAATACCAACTCAGGGTTGATGGTAGAACAAATAGCATAATACTGACTAAGAAACGATAGTGAATGTCAGCCTTGAGACCGGTAAGCGAATAATTGACGTCAACACTACGATTGGGAATGAGATGATCTATATCAGTACTGCAACTGGAGAAAGAAATGATTTTCATCAGTACTAAGACTGGAGAAAGAAATTATTTACATAAGTACTGAGACTGGTAAATGATTGGCATCAGTACTGAGACTGGTAAGTGATTGACATCAACACTTGAGACTAGAATAGGAAACGATTTACATCAGTACTGAGACTGGTAACTTCAATACTGAGGCTGGTAATAAACGATTCACATCATCACTGAGACTGGAAAAGGAAACCATTTACATCAGTACTGAGACTGGAGAAAGCTCAACTCTATTAGGGAAAAGTCTAATAAGGAGAAAGAAGAAGATACTGACTAACAAATGAGTGAACTACTAGCTTCTAGAACAATAATAAGTTTCCCAAAATTTTGGCATTCCACCTAGAACGGGTCTCAACTTCTTCTTTGATCGAGATACCAATCAGAAAGGATAATAAACTTCTCTGACTTCTAGATTTCTCCTAGAATGGAGAATAGTTTCTTCTTTATCCAATATATCACTCAGAAAGGGTAATATACAAACTTCTCTACCTTCTGGATTTTTCAGAGAGATTCCATTTGTTGTTGATGAGAAAACTTCTCAAATGAGATCCCATTTACGGTTGATGAGCAAGATTCTCAAAAGAGATGCCATTTGCTGTTGAAATAACATATTGTTGGGGATACACAAGCTGCTCAAATAAAGAGGCCACCACTTGCTGCCTTTCAAAGATATCAATAATGCACAAGCTGCTCATGAAGAGTTCGCCACTTGCTACTTCCAAAGATATCAATAATACACAAGTTCTCATGAAGAGTCTGCCACCTGCTATATTCCAAAGATATCAATAATACACAAGCTGCTCATGAAGAGTCTGCCACTTGTTACTTTCCAAAGATATCAATAATACACAAGATTCTCATGAAGAGTCTGCCACTTACTACTTTCCAAAGATATCAATAATACACAAGCTGCTCATGAAGAGTCTGCCACTTGTTACTTTCCAAAGATATCAATAATACACAAGCTGCTCATGAAGAGTCCACCACTTGCTTCTTTCCAAATATATCAATAATACATTAGTTTCTCATGAATAGTCTGCCACTTGTCGTCATGTTGAGATTCCAAAAGAGTGTTGCAACAACACTACTGGGAAGCAAAGTTCATATTCAATGGGAAACCATGAATAGATTCTTCTTGAGGAGACCACGTATTTAAATGTGCAAAATAAATGCACTCTCCATCTAGGTTTCACAGCCTAGAGAGATCCACGGGGTAGCATCCGCAAGAGACAAAGCTCAATCTAGGAACAAACTGGAGAGAAAAAGTCAAACAAGACTCCACCCAATGAGGAAACAACTCAATTGGGGATTTATCCTATCCAAAGATGGAAAAAGGAAATCTAAAGAAATATTCTTCCACGAGAGTTAACTTAGTTGGGAATTAGAAAGGAGGCACACTTTCTGCTTAAGTTGACACTCTATTTGGGAAGAGAAAATACGCTATTTGAATAGACATAACCAAGGTATACAAACCCAATAACATAAACAAATGCGAATGTGCATGCATGATGCATGTGTGAATGAATAAATGAATGTCATATATATGTTTGACAAAACAGATAGAAGAGACAAACTAGAGATGATAAGACATCACAGTACAACCAAATACTCGACTAACCTCAACAAGATGAGAACATTACTGGAGATAGAATAAAATCCATCGATGGAGCATATTTCTGCTATAAGGCTCTAATCTCTCCGTGGAGGAAGATATTTTTCAGGAGAAAACCCAAAGTCAAATCTTCTAACATCAATAATCCATTGAAAGGATAACAACATGAACTCCGCTTCAGTTGGAGAAAAATCTTGCTTAGCTAGAGATAGTTGGGAACACCATCATATGATAATGTATGCAAAGTAGATCACATATCCTGACAAATCTGGATTTCCCATGGAACTAATTTTGGATGCCCCAAGTTTACTGCTGATAAGTTACGTGACGCACGGTAATTCTTGCGAATAAATTCACTTCTAAAATTCCCCAATTTAAATGGTTGATGGGAAGAAATCGTTTGAAGAGGATTTTATAAAAGACTTGGAATCCAAAAGGCTCTAGTGTCTTCAAACTCTTAGAGAGATTCATCGAATCTTGACATGACTGTCCCATATTGACTATATTTGGCATAACAGAGTTTTCAAATTTTCCCTATGAGGGTAAACAAACTATGAAGGCAGCAACATGTTCATGCTGAAGGTCTTCAGGTAACATGCCCCTGGATATGATCATTCTTGAAAATGACTCGCCAATTACTTAAAATATTAAACTCATCATTGGTGCTTGTATGTAAGCTTCCTTGATATCAAACAAATGTTTTACAAGCAGATAAATTTTATTCTGAGAATGAAAATTCTAATGCAACAGTTATGTAAGTCTTGAAGATTTTGAAAAGATATCGCACAAAATTTGCGAGTTAGAGCAACATTTATTTTTGTATAGCAAAGGCATATAATATCAACACAAATATTTAACAAAACTTATGAGAGTCAGGAACGCAATCTTGTCGAAGTATGCTTTCAAAATAAACCCAACTTCAATTAGGACTTTTGAGGGTTGTAACGTGGCCTGATTCATGGTTTTTTTTGGAAAAAAGATTTAAGGCTCAAAAATATTTGGTTCCCACCCCCTTCATGATGTTCTTCAGTCCTATATTCAGTAAATTTGATACGATCACTCATCTCCCGAGAGGATTTAACTGATGGTTGAGGAACCACTAATATTCTTTGAACACGACAATCACCCACTCTTGACTTTTGTCACACGACTCTGTTATTTGTAGAGCATTTTACGCAGTAATCCTTTCTTTGCAAATTTTCGTTTTCCCTAAATTTTCCCTAAACTAATTATTTTGAATTGATAGTTCAGCAGGATGCCCTGACTTTTTCCAAAGCGACTTGTTTTTTCAAGTTTAGACTTAGCGGGGCTTTTTGTCTCTTTCTTTTTTTCATCATTTTTTATTCATTTCATTTTTCTTTCCTTTTGAACAT